GGATCATTTATGGAAATCTGTCCAAAATGAAGGTTCACTGGCCAATTAATTTCTGGTTCGGCTAAAAACTTTGGCCCTGACAACCAGGAATCATCCTTCAAAAAGGTTTGCACCTTAACTCCCCTAGAGGCTAGATCAGCAGGATTACATGATGTATTAACATATCTCCATTGAGAAGGTTTGGACACTTTAAGTATCTTGGTTACCCGGTTTGCTATGAATACTTTAAACCTTGAGGTTTCATTGCTGAAATACTTTAACACCGAGGTACTATCAGTCCAAAATACTGACTCCTGCAAACGCATTTGCAGCTCTTTTTTCCACATCTTATCCATCCTACTCGCAACTAAGGCAGCTGTCAACTCCAGGCGAGGAATGGAAGTTTGTTTCAGTGGAGCCACTCTTGCTTTACCCATTATAAACGCACAATGCACTTGATTCTGGGTGCTGCGCAACAGCAGATAAGTGACTGTGCCATAACCCTCCTCGCTTGCATCTGCGAAGTGATGTTACTGAGCAGAAGCAACGTCTCCAAAATCAGAAGGTTTAAGGCACCGGTCGACCTTGAAATCTGCAAGAAGGCAAAGATCATTTAACCAAACTGTCCATTCTTGTTCAACAGTCACTGGCAACACATCATCCCAACCCCAATGACTTCTGCACAGTTTTTGAAGGATCAACTTAGCAGGCAACACCACAGGTGCCAAGAATCCTAATGGGTCGTAGACAGAGCTCATAAGGGACAATATCCCTCTCCTTGTGAGAGGTTTGTTTTTCAGTGTGATCCGAAACTTAAATGCATCTGATTGGATACACCACTGTACTCCCAATACTCTCTCTACCGGTAACACGTCACTATCCAAATCCAAATCCTTCACCTCCTTGGATCGTTCCTGCTGAGGTATGGCAGCAAGCACTGCTCTTCTGTTGCTAACCCATTTTGTGAGCTTAAAGCCTCCTTTAGCACAAAGAGCAACAAGTTCCTGATAGAGCCGCACTGCCTCCTCTTCAGAACCAACAGAGGTAAGGCAATCATCCACATAGAAATTATGTAAAACATTGTTGACAACCTCTAGTCTGAAATGATCTCTGTTGTCCTCTGCACATTTCCTCAAGGCAAAATTCGCACAACTTGGGGATGAAGTGGCTCCGAAGAGATGTACTTTCATTCTATACTCCGCCAGATCCTGACCATGATCTCCGTCTGGCCACCACAGAAACCTTAGCAGATCTGAGTCATCTCTTTGTACTCTGACCTGATAAAACATGGATTCAATGTCTGCCATGAGCACCACCTGTTCCTTTCGGAACCTGTTTATGACCCCAACTAGCAAACTAGTTAGAACTGGGCCTTCCAGAAGTAGTCCATTCAAAGACACGCCCTGAAATGAAGCACCACAATCAAAGACAACTCGCAACTTCTTTTGTGGGTGATACACCCCATGATGTGGAATATACCACAATCTTCCATCACAGCGGTCAAATTCTTCAGCAGGTACCTTCTCTGCATACCCTTTAGAAATGATTTCATTCATAAAACTGGTGTAATCGACATGAAATGAACCATTCCTAATAAACTTTCGTTTAAGGCTCATAGCTCGTTGTTCTACAGCCTTCTTATTATTTGGCATTTTTACCTGATTGGACCTAAAAGGTAAACCAATGGTGTAATGACCACCAACCAACTTAACAGAATCCATCACTGACTTCATAAACTGCTGATCTTCTCTAGACAAAGCAAATTGCTCATCCTGAATGCATTCTGGAAAGTCAGTCTTCATTTGACGTTCCCACAGCTCATCTAATCTTGCCACGGAAATCCTATTGACACTCACATCAAAAATGTCAGTCTTACAATCCTCTGAGAGGACCATTCACCGTCCAACCCAGCATAGTTTTTACTGCATAGGGACCTCCATTTTGACTTCTGATAACATCCCATGGCTCCAAAGCCTTGGGCACATTGGTCCCGATCAACAGGTCTACCCCGGAATTTATCTCCAGTATGTTAATTTGGCGCAAAGGTGGCCATTTATCGAGGTCTTCCTGTCGGGGAATATTACATGGATGCACAGGCATGTTTTTTTGAGTAAATAAGTCAGGCAAGTCACAGTAGTGATCTAAATCCCAACCGGCTACTTCCAAACCTGAAACCACATAACTGACCATTTTCTCCTGACCCATTGTCCGCAAAAGAATGCCAGCTGAAAGATTCAGCCTATTCATGAGCCCTTCAGTACAAAATGAAGCTGAGCTCCCAGGATCTAGAAGAGCATAGGTTATCAGTGACTGATTACCTTTCTTGGACTTCACTCTAACTGGTATTATGGACAGAGCACTATTTTGCTCACCGGCCCCAGTAACACCACTGCTTTGCACAGCACATGAAGGACCTTCATCTGGTGGTTCTCTCCCTCCTATAGTTTGCACTGCAACACTTTCCCTCTGCTTGGAGTGAATATGTAAGAGTGTGGGGTGTTTCTGATTACAAACTTTACACAAGAGACGTTTCTTACAGTCCCTGCTTCTGTGCCCAATGCGCAGACAACCATAACACACATTGTTCATTGGTACGGATAACGTACGGACATCATGATTGCTGTATCGGACTTGATTGTTATTTTTTTTGCAAGCCAGCCTGAGGAAGGTTCATTGTAACCGAAACGTCGCATTTTGGCTTGCAAGTATACTTGACTTTTGTACTTTGGAGTTACGCTAAAATAAAGCACTCAGTTATTCACACAGTCGCAGTCTGTCTCATCCATTAGAAGATAACTGCTTGATGCTACTTGTTTTGGATTTTTCCAGCAACGTAGCCAAACGTAATTTATAGGCATTATTCAGGCAGTGGCTTAACAAACATGTCCACATGGGAGACAGAGGACAACTGGTCCGTGGTTCGCCGGAGAAGAGGCCGAAATGAGGATCGCTACTGGTCGGCCGACACGAGTAGACAAAGGACGGCCCGACACGCCAGCTACCCCGGCCGCAACAGCCCGAGGACCTACGCGTCAGTTGTGAGAGGACGGGGACAAAACAACGATTATCGGCCCTTCCAAACACGGGACCAAAGTGCGAGAAGGGAACGGCCGGCTGTGAATCGCTTTGTGACCCGACACCGTGGAGGGATCTTTCAGCAGAGACCAACCCAAGGTTATCGCTATTTAAAACCCACTCGTTCGGAGCGAGCTGGGCCGCCTGAAGAAAGAATACAATCAGACGACCCAGATTTTTCTGTCAAGGTCTGTATAATTCACAGACTCATTAAAGCGATCAATCATCTTAAGAATGTATCTGTTAGATATTTTAGTATTATGGGAGCATGTACTGGGTACTTTTTTTGATGATATTAGACAAGAATCAACAAGGCTCTTTATGTTAACCATTTTCTCTTGCATTGTCAACTGAAAGTAGATACTAAGGTTGGAAGGAAAACACCAACAAATCAGTCTTTTACTTATCACTCCCTTGCAGAAGATGTTTATGTGAAGACCATCTGGGTGGTGTCAGAACTCACGGATGTAGGAGACCTCTGTATAAGATTTATAGGCCTTGTGAGTGCATCTTTATTGCCCTTGCTGAACAAAGGATTCCAACTGTCGAAGGACACCACCTCACCCAGTGGGCAGGGTCTGAACTGAAACTTGTTGTCTGCCTATAAAAACTGCTGCACAAAGAATAAACTTTGAGTTAGTTTGGGATGACAATTTAGAACAGTCTCCGCGTCTTTTTGTTCTTCCAAACTGCTCCCGGTACTCCGGCCGGTGCCGTAATTAACCGTTGATCATATTTGAGTGTTACTTGAGAATATTTTAATTGTTATAGGTTAAAGGATGAACTCTGATGATGAAAGCCCACGCCTCAGAGAAACCCGGAATGGAGTTTCTTACAGTATCAAATGACACTTATCCTCCGTCTTTGAATAAGTTAACCCAGAATTTAATGACTGTTATCAAACCGGCCATTCCCACTGAAAGGACACAGCAGTTAATTGAAGGCAATGCTAAGAACTGGGCCCATACAGCTATCCTAATCCTCAGAGAACATTACTACAACAGTATTGAGGAGGAATCCAATAATTTGTTCGAGTTTCCCAGAAAAGACTGGAAGGGCCCCTTTGAGGTTGCTGCATCCTGGGCTAAAAGAAACCTGGGCCGACGCCTTCAACCAGAGTCACTGGAACAGGCTCAGTCTGTCATCATATCAAAGCTGCCAGATCTGAACACAACTACTGCAGCAGCTAGGCCAGAATCTGCAACCATAGACACACCACAGCAACCGCAGGTGAGCAACAGACACACCCAGGGGATAACAACGAATCCCCCTGTTGAAACAGCACCACCAGCTCCCCAGTGCATGCCACCTACAACAACACAGATGGACCGGATAATAACTGTCTCAGCTGAGGTCCACGCTCCACCGGCAGCTAACACTGTTCTTCAATATACGGCTGCAACGATGGCTGACCCTATTCGAGGTGATTGGTCACCGTTTATGGAGATGGAGGAGGAAAGAGAGGATGAAAAGATGGCCGCCACCCCCCCTAAAACGACAGAACCTACTGAAATGGTGCCAAAAGCGCAGAGAGTGAGGAGAATTTCCGACACGTCCCACAGGACAGCTGCCGATGACCAACCATCATCTTCAACTCGGCCACCACAACCTGCTGTGGCCATGGATACGAACAACATTGATATCATACAGGAGATATCCACCCCCACAAATACGAGGGAGGACATCACAGTAAGGGAGCCCAGCCCACAACGTTTAGCATCACATTCGGGTGTGCCACGCGTGGACCAGGAAAGACTCAAGTCCTCTGTGCAGACCCGCCTCCCAATTAGATTAATAGAAGATGCTTCTTCCTTTCTTCCTCCCTTCCCTCACACTTTCACCGGACCTGCGGATATGCACCCCTACAAAACATCCCAGCACACGGAGAAAACAAAGACTGGCATCTACACGCAAAGGAAACAGTATTGATCATCGGAGATTCCAACATGAGCAGGGTTCCTCCATATGCAGCGGACGGCGTCCAGATTGACAGTTTTCCTGGAGCAAAATGGTGCCACGCAGAGACCTTATTGGAGAAGGCCACCAGTGAAACAAGTGTGACTAACTTGATTTTCTCTTTTGGCCTGAATAACAGATCCCAGAGGGATAAAACTGTAGCAGTGACAGAGCTGAAAAGGGCGCTGAGGGCAGCACAGGGGAAATTTCCAGGTACTGATATTCGTATTCCTGTAATTAACTTTTCCTCTGCCCTTCCCCAACCGGAAAAGGACACTCTACTGCACTTAAATGACTTTATTTCAGGTCTAAAAGAGCATATCCCCGCTCTCCCTGATGAAGTTTTCACCACGGGGAGAGATGACATTCACTGGACAGATGAAACTGCTGAGCGTATGTTACAACACTGGAATGAACAGGTAAATCAGGAATCCCCATAAACCCAATTAGACGGGAGGGGGTTAGTAATAGTGTTTTTAACCTGTCTACCAGTTTCCAACCTTCCACTGCTCAGCTGACCCTGTTAAACAGAGGCCTTACCTTTATTCCCACGACAGGCTATAATAATAAAAATTCACTTTTGCAACGCAAATTTGACATGCAGCAATATCATAGGAGGGTCAAATTGGCTATTTATTATGGGGATAAAAATGAATCAGAACCCCGACCCTTCACCCACAAATCCAACTGGTCTCCCCCCCTGAGCCAGCTTCCGCCTCAGGTAACCAATTTGGTTAAAGCAGACTATGAATTTTCTCATAATCAATTGTACATAGACCGCATTAACCCCAACTTACTGAAGGTAGAAACAAAAGCCCTTAAGGACCTTAAAGAAAACAAACACATTATTTTAAAGCCAGCAGATAAAGGAAGTGCTATTGTCATTCTGGACAGGGAACAATACCTGCAGGAAGGCTACAGACAACTTAATGATGAAACATATTATACCAAATTAAGTAAACCAATTTACCTGGAGACCCTACCTGTCGTTGAGAGGATAATAAATAATCTACACCAAAAGAAATTTATCAACACAATACAAAAGAGCTATCTGTTAGGTTCTTCTGAGCCCAGGGGAAGGTTGTTCTACATGTTACCAAAAATCCACAAAGATCCGTCTAAGTGGAGTGTTCCCTTCCGTGTGCCTCCGGGACGTCCTATAGTTTCGGACTGCGGAAGTGAAACCTACTACACAGCAGAGTACTTAGAATATTTTTTGACTCCCTTATCCACAAAACATCCCAGTTATATTAAAGATACTTATGATTTTGTGAACAAGGTGAGACAAATAGAAATCCCTGATGAAGCCTTCTTGTTTTCTATTGATATTGACAGTCTGTACACAAACATTGACATCCAGGAAGGAATTAACTCAGACGAATTTTCCAAAAATATCTGGACAAAAAGAGACCGGACAAAGAATTAATACAACTGTTAGAAGTCAACCTTACAAGAAATGATTTCGAATTCAACGGGGATTTCTATTTACAGGTAAAGGGTACAGCCATGGGTAAAAAATTCGCTCCAGCTTACGCTAATATTTTCATGGCTGAATGGGAGTCTGAAGCCTTAAGCAAGTGTGTTAAAAAGCCACTATATTGTTACAGGTTCCTGGACGACATCTGGGGAATATGGCATCACTCTGAGCATGACTTTGAAGGGTTCCTGAATACCCTAAATGGCCATAATGCCTCAATAAAGCTTAAATCCACATTTCATAAAACCAAGATTGATTTTCTGGACACGACAACATTCAAGGGCCCAAATTTTCTAACTGACCACAGATTAGATGTAAAAGTGTTCTTTAAACCCACGGATATACATGCCCTACTGTTTAAAACCAGTTTTCACCCAAAAAATACATTTGCTGGGCTAATTAAATCACAATTACTCCGATTTCACAGAATCTGCACGCAGCAATGTGATTTTAAACAGGCCACCAGAATCCTATTTGCGGCACTCGCCACTAGAGGGTACAGTCGCTCTTTCTTAAGAAAGTGCCTTAAATCATTTCTAATAACCAAACCAATTGATGTGTCCCCCATGCTCCCAGTAGTGGTGACATATTCCCTTGTGTCTTGCAAACTGGTTGGAACGATTAGGACCCATTTTCAAAATCTTCTTCAAAGAAACCAAATCTTGACTGACCACAGAATAATCGCAGCCTTTAGGAGGAACAGGAACCTTGGTGATTTTCTTATTAAGGCAAAGGTGCCACCTCTCTCTGAACCTAAGTCCAGAGACCAAGGAAAACAATTTTTTCACCACTACAAGTGGGTCCAGAGTTTCTCTAATCAAGAGGTTTTCCTATCACAGTGTACAGGCACTCCCAGATCCAAAAACTGTGTATACATGATCACCTGTAAAAAAAAAAAAAAAAAAGTGGTTTACAGTATATCGGCGAAACAGGTAATACACTGTTGACCAGGTTCACACAGCATAGATACAATTAGGGATGGGTACCGGTGTCCGGTGCCATGATGGCACCGGTTCTGACATAAACGGTAGTAACCAGACCGAAAAGCAGCGCACATTTCGGTGCTTTATTTCGGTGCTTTTTTTTC